ATATAAATTAAGCTTAATTTGGTTAAGCTGTGTAAATTTTAAAATTTTTCCGGAATTGAATGTGCCACACTGTATATCAATATTTATAAAAACAATAAAATAAAAAATAAAAATTGTATACCTCTCACCATCAATAAACAACACCTTATCTTTAGAGCAAACTATACCAATTAACATTTACACTTTCTCATCTTGTAAAAGATAAAAAAAAAATTAAAAAAAAAAATTCAATCACCGTCAACAATAATAATCTTTGTCCAACCATACATGCACTATGTCGATCTTCTTTTTAAAAAAAAAGTTTTTAAGACTGAAAAATACAAACAGAAAAAACCGAGAAGATGGTCAAGGTGCCATCAAAGAGTAAGTGTTTATCATTAAATAGTGGTTGTTATCACTGCATTACAACTTGTGCCACTCTAGTTTTATAATAAAAATTCAGATTTTGAAAATCATCCAATCAAATTTCAACACTACTATACACACTCTAGATAAGACTTACGATGAAATATATATATATATAAAATATGAAAAAATTGTTAAAAAAAATGAAATAAAAAAATATATACAAGAAATTTATTATTTAGTCGACCAGCGAGTACTACATCTAATAAATCTATGTACAGATTCGCCTCATCCGTGAGGATAATATCATATACCGACATTTTAAGTGAATTCCTCCTCCTTTGAGCGGCTCACCACAACACCTATTGTCTCCTTTATTTGCCTCAGGAGCACCTCTTACAACTCATTAACGACCGGGCGACCTGCAAATGTTTGATATTAATTAATTGAAAGTTACCTAATTAATGTAATGCACACATAATTGATATAATACCTATATTTGCTCAGTGCCGATTCTTGCATTGAAAAACGAACGGGATCTTGCAAACAACTCCTCTAATATCAATCCCTTTGTCACCCAGTTCCCTGGATAATTTGATAAAAAGTATAACAATAAACAAGAATGAGTATAATGCGTCATCATTATCAAGAACCAAGAAGAAAATAATGTGGCAACGAAGAAGCTTTTCATTCATAATTCATGTATCCTATTTACCATAAATTCCCAGTGCCTAGGAATAACTCGGGACCATCGGAAACTGGGAAGAACGTTCACGACCAAAAAACCGTGGTCATGAAGAGCTTTCAATTCCCAGACATTTTACACCTAGTAGCAGCGTAACTTCAGATACATAACAACTCGACAAAATAACTCAGTGAAAAACACTCACCCTGTGTGCTCGTGCTCAATCCAAACTTCTCTCAACCTCCTAACAACTGTAAGTTCAGTTTTCTACCTTAGCAACAGCTGGCAACATAGTAATTTTTTTTAGAATGAGTGATGCTTCATGATTTCCATGTTAACGTAATCTCTCAAGATTAACAACTTTAAGTTATAAAAAAATATCTTTTATAAAATTATTAAAAGATTTTTATAAATGTATTAAAAAAAAGATCTTTATAAAAAAGTATCTTTTATTAAAAAAAAGATTTTTTAAAATTTATAATCGATTGAAAATGTACCAGAATGTTCTATACTAATTAATACCCTTAGTCGGCGTCGTTATTTAGTAATGCGATAAAAAAAATTATTTAAATAATTAATTTAACATAATAATTTTATCTCTTAAACGGTCAGAGTATATTTTAATGGTAACACAAATCAAGGTTTTGATCATCCTTATTGGTCAATTTAACGATCAGCAAAGTAAAAACAGTCAATCGACTGACTTTTAAAGAAGATTTTACAAAAATCATAAGGACAACAACTGGATTTTTATTTATAGATTAATCGGCTGAATCGCAAATATTATTTCACATTAGAAAGTGATGCCCTCAGAAAAAATTTTTTATATCAGAAAAATTTTATCGGCTATCAAAGCCGATTAACTGTTTAGTATTAGTATTAGAAGCCTGATGTAAAATTTGAATTTTTAGTTGGTGAGGTATGTTCACAGCCATGGAATGAAAAGGAGGATAAAACGAATGGTGATACTAGAAAACTTTTTAGATTAATGAAAGATTGTTACGATAGTATTGCATTGTATTTTTATGAAAAATTTGGTACAAATTATTCTAGTTGTTGGAATTTAAAAAACTTGGAAATATATGGTATCATTGTATCAGGTAATTTAATTAATAATATATGTACAAGGGAATCTTTTCTTTCCTCAAAACGATCTTTATTTTTTTACATTTGAAAATAGGGTTTGAAATAATAATCTGTGTTAGATCAGCCAGGATTTGGTGTAATGATGGTGGCCGAAACTAACCCATAGTTTAGGCATTTAGGCAATTTCGGTTTAGGCCTAGTTTCGCCCATGAAG